CCCCCCCCCCCCCGCGAAAAGCCCTGAAGTGACGCTCCTGTTTTCAAGAGCAAAAAATATATCCAACGTTCCGTAATTTTAAATTCAACGTCTTTCTCTGCATTTCCCTGTGGTGAATGGCTTGATGGGGCTCAACATGTTCAATGTGTGAACTCGGGAGTCTAACGACGAAGCTTAACAAATGAATGCATTCAACTCTAACCAGGCCATTTGTAGTGGTCTAGCGTGTTGATCCCAGTGTTATAATAACGTCCAAAAGAACTGGCAAGTTGACAAAAAGAAAAAAGTCATTCACAAAAATAAAATGATAACAATAATAAAATTGTACTTGGACTTTGTTCCTCTTCAAGATATAATAATATATTGTGTTTATTGTAGTTATGACAGTAGGCGTAACACTCAATTTGAAACACAATTCAGTTGACAGAAGGGGTCCCGCAAACTGGTTGAGATTTTCATATGTGGACATTCAGATTGCTTTCTGACAACGACTAAAAAAACGTGTTCGAACGCTGCATTAATAAACAAAACAAAAACAAAAAAAGAAACGTAATAAGCTGCAAATTACGATAACCAAAATGACAGTCGCTTCCTGCCTACTTGAGCGTACTAGTTTGCATGTGAAGTACTCACTTGAACACACAGGCTGTGTACGAGAAGAGATTTCCGTAGTACCAAGTGACGCCATTGGGGACATTGATGAGAAAGACTCCAAAAAGCACAAAGGACTGTCTCCAGTTCATCTTATTGCGAGCTGGGACAGACGGCGCTGACCGCTGTGCCAAATGGTGTGTAGAGTTTACGGGTAGGGGGTGGGGGGTAGAATATCATTGGGCAAGGCGCCCCACTTTTGTCGAGCAACCCTACACACCTAATACTAGGTTCATTAAAAGAAACAACTTAAAACTGTAGAGGTCGTGAGCTGTCCTGTGGTGTTCATTCATGCATGAAATGGTGTGTCATTATTGAATGCTGCTCATGTAAACAACGACTGTGTGTGTGTGGGGGGGGGCATACGACTTAGCCCGTGTGAGACATACTTTAAAAAAAGTATTTAAAATTTAAACAAAAAAATACTTTTTATTAAAGAGGTGTTTAAACGCATTAAAAGATAGAAAGTACTTTAAAATTTCTTAAATTCATTACGAGAAGAAAGTCTGTGCAGACGTTCAGAAAAGCATTGTTAGTTTAATAATCCAAAGGATTCGAATTGAATGCAGACGAAAAGTAAATATGTATTACTTTTACTAATTTAGAAAAGAAAAATATTTACTGCACCAACTTACTTTGGGTCATGCATTTTAAGAAATGTCAAGTTACGTTCTACCTCTCAGTGCGTTTACACTCGTCTTTGATAGGAAGCATGTTTTGTTTTTATTTTTTATTTTATTTTCCTACTTTTTGGTATTAAAATTGTAATTTTTAAATTATCGACAAGTGTAGAATTAATTACTTTTAAAAAAAAAAACAACGAATGCTTACAAAATCCCGGTGAGAGTGACTAAATCATCTTTCTTTACCTAGGCATAAAACTACATACCGGTAGTAGATTTTAACAGTTACGGCGTCTTATGACCCTAGTCGCGAAATATCTGTTGTTCTGAGTCTCTTTGTTATATGCCCTGCACCAAACTCTAGCCCTGGTCGCGAGAAGTCCGTTGTTCTGAGTCTCTTTGTTATATGCCCTGCCCTTAACTCTAACCCTGATCCCGAGAAGTCCGTTGTTCCGAGTCTCTTTGCCATATGCTCTGCCCGTAAATCTAGCCCTGGTCGCGAGAAGTCCGTTGTTCTTGTCATATACCCTGCCCTTAACTCTAACCCTGATCCCGAGAAGTCCGTTGTTCTGAGTCTCTTTGCCATATGCTCTGCCCGTAAATCTAGCCCTGGTCGCGAGAAGTCCGTTGTTCTTGTCATATACCCTGCCCTTAACTCTAACCCTGATCCCGAGAAGTTCGTTGTTATGAGTCTCTTTGCCATATGCCCTGTCCCTAACTCTAACCCTGGTCGCGAGATGTCTGTTGTTATGAGTCTCTTTGCCATATACCCTGCCCCTATCTCTAGCCCTGGTCGCGAGAAGTCCGTTGTTCTTGTCATATGCCCTGCCCCTAACCCTAACCCTGGTCGCGAGAAGTCCGTTGCTTCGAGTCTAATTTCCCTATCATTGGGTACATTGTCATGCTGGGGTGCCCCCTTTTTCATTATTATTATTATTATAGAAAAAGTTGTGTCCTCTCAAATCCATAAAGTTTGTTTATGTGTAGCCTAATTTTCGTTGAGTTCGCCCATATTATGGACTGTGGTGACGTACCAACAAAGCCACACAATAAAAATACCTAGCAACGATGTAAACAATGAGACCTTGATAAACCCAAACGGCTATTTAGTAAACTCAAAGCGCTATTTATAAACCCAAAGAACCCTTGGGGTCGGTCTTGAACCGTTTTGGGAAGAAAGAAAATCCTTTTACAAAATCAACAGCCTTTGTAATAAATTCTTCATTGAGTTTGAGCTCATCTGTGAGGTGAGGTTAATCAAAACACCCTTTGGTTTAATAAACTCTTCCGTTATAATTTAATCAATTCCTCCGTCACTTAAATAACCCCCTACGTTACTTTGATAAACTGACTTCTTCGTTAGTTCAGTAAACTTGCCTTCTTAGTTTAAAATGAACTGTCAGCTTTAAAAAAAAATACTTGACCGTTTATGGTTCGGTACAGTACAAGCACTGTAAATACACTTGAAAATATATCAATTTTGAATGGTCACCATAATTGTTTTGTTTTTTTCAAAATACGTGGCAGCCGTGGTGAAAAGGTGTGGGGCGGGGGCTGACCTTTTCTTTTATGACACATAAATATACAAGGAATGGTACTACCCACCACCCCCAAAACGTCTTACCATGGAATATAAAGGACCTATTCTTGCTAAACATGTTTGTGTGCCAACGTAAGCTTCTAGTTCTAATAGCGGCAATTGGCAATAACCAATCTATTGGTTTCAGTATCAGTTCACAAGGGACGGTATTTCAAGGGAGACAATTTGTCTTAAACCTGAAAAAAAATGGAGCGGTAGTCAGAAATAAGACCAGAATAGGCCTGAATAGGGCGTGTGGCTAGCCTGGGTGGTGCCAAACTGAGGGGTGCCAGAGGCGGCACTGAACGAGTAAACAATAACAAAGTTACAAAATGTGAGTAAAGCGTCCTTTAATGTCCTACGCTGGGGGAAGGGGGTGGGGGCGCCATATCATTAATTTCGCCACAGTTTTCCCCACCAAATCTATTAGGGGATTTCCCTGCTTTGAGTTTCAATCCATTGATTTGTCGTGTTGGTGACGGTGATAATATCTGACTGGCGCCTGATAGAATCCCTGGAGCGTAAAGACTGCCCTGTGGAACACTACGACTACGTTGTACCACAATCAACGTTGCTGACGACATCCACCAACATAAGGGAAAAAAACAGCTTCATTAAAGCATTTATGCTATCTAATATCTTAGACACTACAGCGTCAAGTTGGAAGACATTTTTAACTTTTTCTAATATTTTATTTATAGTTTAAAAAAAAAAAAAAAAGTTTTCAATGTCGAGGGTTCTCGTGTTCAGCAACCTCAAAGTCATCCATTTCTTCAGACCAAGTTCATAAATATGAAGATTCTTGATGACCAACAGGTAAAACTATTTAACACTTTTTTGTTTGTTTTAAATGTCTGCTTCAAACTACTTAGTGAAACGAACATTGGCTTTATCTGTTTTTAATTTAAATTATTATTTTAAAAACAAAAATTGAAATTGAGAAATATGACTTGCTATATCGCAGATATAGATATATAAATAACTTCCAAACTGTGGTTAAGAACTGCTTACAAAAATAAAATATTTCTTCGAAACCATACTGTTCAGACGTTGTGACTTACATGTACAAATTTTCTTTTGTGAAATTTACATTTTATTCGCTGCAATGTAAAAAAAGCCATAATTCCCTGTATAAATACGAGGCCCTTGTGAGCGCCAGGCCCGGGCCGTATGACCCTGCTACTCCCCCTTAACTATGAAAAGTCATGGCCTCTTAGCAGTGACTTAGCTAGGGTTGGTGCCGCCAGAAGAGCATTTTTCGGTCAAAGCTTTTTTTGCCGCCCCCTTCCACGTAAAAACTCTGCAGTTGGTCGAAAATATCGCCCCGTCAATATAATGAACAAAGTGCCGCCCAAGGTGGAGGGCCCCCTCCGCACACCTTTTCTACGCCACTGCATTGAAGAATCTGACACAACTGGAAATGTATTTCTGTTTTCATCCGCATTAGAAAATTTGTGTCTGATGTCATCTATTCGGGTCTTGTTCGTATCAGAGCCGTTCTTAGGAGTTTGGGGGCCCTAAGCATGGAGCGTAGGTTGGGGGCCCTGGAAGGGGGGTCCGGGGGTGGAGCTCACTCGAGCTGAGGAGAAACCACCCACCACTGCGGCACCTTCATTATGCCTTCATCAATGTTTCCTCTTTGCTCGCGTGTAACCACTAACCCTGTTGATAATTCCGCCACTAGAGAAAATATGTAATGGTTTAGCCAGCTAACCGATCGCTTTTTTTTACTTTCCCATTCCCTCGGCCAAGCCCCCAAAGCCCCCTCCCCCCCCCAATGCTGCTTCCCTTCCCTCCCTCCACATTCAACCCAGAATGATACATTTCAAGATGAAGCAGGTAACGTGACTGACACAGACGGCTGCAGTGCCAGTATATGTAATGGTTTAGCCAGCTACCCGATCGCTTTTTTTTACTTTCCCATTCCCTCGGCCAAGCCCCCAAAGCCCCCCCCCCCCAATGCTGCTTCCCTTCCCTACCTCCGAATTCAACTCAGAATGATACATTTCAAGATGAGGAAGGTAACGTGACTGACACAGACGGCTGCAGTGCCAGTTAAAAAAATAAAAACCGGGGTATCTAGGGCGCCTCACGGGGGCCCACTCGCGTTCGGGGCCCTACGCGGATGCGTAGTCAGCGTATGCCTAAGAACGGGCCTGTTAGTATACTCTTCAGATCAGTGGTTCACAACCTATGCTCGGCGAAGCCATAAGGGCTCCGGGTGAGCTTCTCAGAGGCTCCACAGCCACCCCCCCCTTTACAATACTCCTTTGCATCATTTGCTTTTCCGAGGATTAATTAGACACAAACAATATGTGTAAATAAAACAATACATGTTCAGCTTTAATGAGGTTTTACAAAATACTAATGTAGACGTTTCAGCGCATGCCTTCGTCAGCACACAAAAAAACACAACATTTAAATCAGCATTAATTAAATTTACACAAAATATTTACATGTATCCTACCTAACATTTAAGAAAAAGGGTAGGCCTAAGAGTAACCCCCAAAAGCCCCAACCCCCCCCCCCCCACTCCCCTAAGAAATCGATTCTAAAAAAAGCTATTGCGAATCAAAACAGTTGAGAGCCACTGCTTGTTTTGAGGTACAGGAAAAGTGAGGACAAAAATCGCGACTTAACAACCGTGATGCAAGTCACTTAAAGTTAATAGGCCGATTATTGACCATTTTTTTTTTAAGCTACTAAAACATCGCCAGCCTTCTTAATAAATCTTCACTAATAACTGTACCAAAAATTCCATTAGGGCGTAATCTTGGAATATATAGTCTAAATCTGATCATTTCATCGGTGATGATGGCATTATTTTTTTTTCCTTTTGTTTAAATACAGCATAAAAGTGTACGGCGAAAGGCTGTGCAGCGTAAGAAGGAAAGAAAGAAAATATGGACAAAACGGGACAAGGATCAAATTGTTTTGAAATGGAATAACGCTCGCCCAAGACGATACATTTTCAAGTCCGTGCCTCCAACACGGAGAGAGGTATTCATCCAACCCTGGCTGCAGGTGTTTGCTGCGTACTTGATTTTTTCAATTATCTTCTATTATTTATTATTATTATTTATTAATTTTTTAAATGAAGTTTTCACCACTGGCTCCATACCGCAAAACAACCACCACTCTTTGGATCCGCGTTTTTTTGTCACGGACGTCCCAGCGAAGGGAAAAGAAACTTGAGCGACCCAGCATCAAGATCGGTGAGTGGGAGAGAATCGCTGATAACCGTCCCAGTTGGTGAACAGCGGTGAATGTGGGAATCCAACATGCAGAGGATGTCCGAAACAAAGCCCCTGTTGCAGGAAGGAGCATCGCGGAAAGCCAAAGTAGAGATGGGAATCGAATCAAATATATTATGTGATATGGTTGTTGATAGATAGTATATGTGAATTGGTAGTTTATAGATTGTAATATGGAAGTTAAAAGATAGTATTTGTTAATTTGCAGTTTATATATGATATATGTGATATGGTAGTTATATGTTATATGTGATATGGTAGTTATATGAAGTATATGATATGGTAGTTATATGATATATGTGATATGACAGTTATATGATATATGTGATATGGTAGTTATATGATATATGTGACATGGTGGATTATAGATTGCTTATGAGATAATGTGGTAGTTTTAGCGTGTATGTGATAAGGTATATTATGGATAGTATGTATGATATGGTAGTTTATAAATCAGTATATTTGACATGGTAGTTTGTAGGTAATACGTGCGACATGGTAGTTCTTGGATGTGATAATATGGTAATTTTGTAGATAGTATATGTGATATGACAGTTTTATGGATTATATTTGTGATAATGTGGTTTATAAATTTTATATGTGATATGGTAGCTTATAGATTGCATATGAATGTGTGAATATTCATAAATCGAGTGTTTATTTATGTATGTTTAACAATTATTAATGTGGATTTTTTTCTCAAACGAATGTTTGTTTAAATTCTTGCTGAGAAAAAGATTCCGAAATAAAGTCACTCAAATCAAATAATGAATGTTATAACAGCTACGTGTGGGAAGATTTCTTCGATTCAATATCTTTTTGTTTCAGATTCCTATTGAAACTATCTATACTTAAATTATTACTACTATTATTATTAATATTGTTAAATAATTTTTTTAAAAATACAAATTTCAGGGCAGATCAAAGTCAAAAGACATGGCAAAGTTTTCCGTTCTATTCAATTCGTCCCACTTTGTGAATGTAAGAATACAAGCACAACATCTCGCTATACCGGGACTTTTTTGTTGTTTTTAATGCAAATAGGGCTACCAGGGGTGAAGAATAAGTGTAAACGAGTAGAGAAAGTTGAAACAACACTTTTAATTTTACACTGCGCAAATGTTTTCCAAAATGTATAACATTTTCGGGTTGACCGGGGGCACTTTATTTTAATTAGTAAACCGAAACGCATGGAACAGTGGACCTGGTCCCTTGCCCCACGTCGCCCCACGTCGTGATGGACACCGGACCGAAAAGACTTGGGCAGGTCCAAACCTGTGATGAGACATCCGGTTCTTTTCAAACAATTTGAAATTTGGAGAGTCTCAAACTAATTGGAAGAGTCCTAGGCTGGATTTCCCTGATAATGTAAATCACTGACTCTGAAAACATTTTGAGCTATGAATTAGGGGGGAGGGTTTAGAGTGGATGCATACAAACATTACTGGTTGAAGGCATGAAGCCCGTGCAGAGCGAACGAATCACTAGGGGCGCTAAAGGAGACCCACAGAGCAAGACAATCTCCCGCGGTGGCACAATGGACCCACAGAGCGAGCGAATCGCTATGGGTGCTACAGGAGACCCACAGAACGAGAGAATCTCTTGGGGCGCTGAAGAAGATCCAGATAACGAGAGAATCTCTTGGGGCGCTTAAGAAGACCCACAGAACGAGAGAATCTCTTGGGGCGCTTAAGAAGACCCACAGAACGAGAAAATCTCTTGGGGCGCTTAAGAAGACCCACACAACGAGAGAATCTCTTGGGGCGCTTAAGAAGACCCAAAGAACGAGAGAATCTCTTGGGGCGCTGAAGAAGATCCAGATAACGAGAGAATCTCTTGGGGCGCTTAAGAAGACCCACAGAACGAGAGAATCTCTTGGGGCGCTTCAGGAGACCCACAGAACGAGAAAATCTCTTGGGGCGCTTAAGAAGATCCAGATAACGAGAGAATCTCTTGGGGCGCTTAAGAAGACCCACAGAACGAGAGAATCTCTTGAGGCGCTTAAGAAGATCCAGATAACGAGATAATCTCTTGGGGCGCTAAAGAAGACCCACAGAGCGAGAGAATCTCTTGGGGCGCTAAAGAAGACCCACAGAACGAGATAATCTCTTGGAGCGCTAAGGAAGACCCACAGAGCGAGATAATCTCTTGGGGCGCTAAAGAAGACCCACAGAGCGAGAGAATCTCTTGGGGCGCTAAAGAAGACCCACAGAACGAGATAATCTCTTGGAGCGCTAAGGAAGACCCACAGAGCGAGAGAATATCATTTAAACCAGCGTTCCCCACATTTTTAAGTTTGGCGGACTGGTGGACCAGTTTCGAAATCACACCAGGGACCGATGCTGTACTCCCAAAATCTATTCATTATATTTTATTTTTAATTTAACCATAAATATTCATGTGAGGACCGGCAACGTAAGGCTCGCGGGCAGGCACCGTCCACGGACCACCATTTTGGGATAAATAGCAAGCCGGCAAACAGTCCTAAATGACGTTTACTGAGTCAAAGTTAGTGCATGATAGAATGAGAAGTGGGGACAATGAGACATGATACTTTGGGATAGAATGAGAAGTGGGGACACTGAGACATGAGACTTTGGGATAGAATGAGAAGTTGGACACTCGGTGGCATAGCTGGGGATGGTGCCGCAAAGCAGTTCGCCCCACCCTCCATGTCCAGGAAAAAACCTTGCTTTGTGGATTAAATCCCGCCCCTCAATTTATGGACAAAAGTCCCGCTCGGGGTGGACCTCCCGCTCTGCGCCCCCTCCCCCCTCTCCTTCCTACGCCAATGCGGACACTGATGCATAAACCCTTGTGGTAGAATAAGAAAAGGGGTTGGGGGGGGGGGACACTGAGACATGATCCTTTGTATGAGCAGGGGCATATAGACACAAGACCTTGCATGGAAAAAAAAGTGTTTTTGGAAATAATATGGGGTCGCTGAATTGAGTTATGGGAGTTTGTTTACAGGCGTATCCCTATCCCCCATGCAAGGGATTTAAGCTTTAACATGTATTAAATGACGTCATGCTATCAACCTACTTAATCTAGCCTCATATTGTAACAGCTGACTCCCTCACCCCCGACTTGGCTTAGGCCAAACATTCCGCCCGCTGCTCCTACTTTCGTTTTCGATTTCCAAGAATCGGCTGACTAACACTAACAACGGTTACGCGGAAGTGTGCTGACAGTTTCGTCACCGACTATAACACCAGCCACCGCCCGCTCGGAAGGAACTGGCGTTTCTTGGTTTCCTCTTTCGAAATGAGACCGGGGCTCAGCGCTCTTCACTTGTGATAATGAACAGTTTCGACGACAGGGAGGTAAGGCAATGTGGGTGTTAAAGCAGAGGTTGGTGATAGTTTTACAGCATTGTCTGTAACTGCTACCATAGATAGTGATGATAATAACATGAATAATATCTACTTTGACGGTTCTGATGATGTTACTAATGTGACCGTTACTAGTCGGTTTCCCCACTTTAATCGGCTGTTCCAGTGGTTATCGTAGTCGTAGGGAACCCCTGTCAAAAGGTGTATGCAGTTTGTATTCCAAACATCTATTTACCACTATGAAGTAGATATAAGTTGTTCTAATTAGGGTTTGCCAGGGTTGTGGGGGTGGTGGGGGGGGTGGAGTATGAATTACTTGAATGCTGTTGGTGAGTTTGTTACTCATGCCGTCGTAGCGTTATACACTGCCTGCTATTTATACATATAAAGTTATTTTGTAAGCCCCTACTGCCTGCTATTTATACGTTTACAGTTATTTGTAAGCCCCTACTGCCTGCTATCTATACTTATACAGTGATTTGTAAGCCCCCACTGCCTGCCATTTATACAGATAGCTTGTGCACCCAAAGTCCATTTTTTCATTCTTTATTTAAGCCTTCTACTCACAACTTAATAATTGGGATCTGCAGTAATGCATTATTTTTATCTTTCTTTTTTTAAAAAACTTTATGGGGGTCGGGGGGGTCGGAGCTAAATCTATTCCCTTTCGAGATAGGTATGGTAGTCAGTGGCAGATGGAACAAAGTGGTTAAGGACATGGCTACAGTTGGGCCATTTTGCCAATGACATGGTTAAGAGTGTATCATTGTTGCTAACGAAATGGCTAGAGGCGGGGGTATCATTTCCATGCAACAAGGATTCGTAAAGGGGGGTAGAGGGGGGCTATGTAATTGATAAAAATGTTGCTTAATTGGTGGGGAACTACCGTCCACCACCCCCACTTCTCATAAAGTAGGGTGACCTAATCATGAACTGGAAAAAAACGGGACACACCCAAGGAGGGTTGTGGTGGGTAGGGGGAATACCCTCCAGCTAAAGAGGTGTTCGGGGGCCTCCGCCGGAAACTGTTTATTGAAATATGCTCATTTTAACTATTTTTGAGACCTAGAAATCTTTTTAAATTTACCTTCACTTTTGTAATTTAATTTAAACTCTAAACGAAAACAATAATTTCGCAGTGAATACGTATTTATTTATACATATTTTACAACATAATACAAAACAACAAATTAAATTTCTCTAGTCTAGGATTTAAATTGAGGTTATTCGGCTGATGTCCCAGCCATTGTTAAAACCTCCTTCTTATCTAATATGTGAAAATGTGTTTGGTTTTAGAACGGGACATTTAGGCGACCCAAGAGACTTTTTCGGGACAAGGGGTTCGTTCGTGAAAAAACGGGACAATCCCGTTTATACGGGACGTTTGGTCACCCTATTATAAAGCCCTTCGGGCCATTTATTTCATGACGTCCGTGGTGGCCTCTTTTAAGGTATACTTTCCAACTGGTTAACCTAAAAATTAATTAGTCATGCACCCAACCATAAACATACACTATACGGTAAAGATACTAATTAAGATTGTGGCTTTATTACCATTATAATACATTCTTGACTAACTTTTTTTTTTTTGAGTAAAGCATTAAAATTTATTTTCTATGTTTTAGCATCGCCGAGCAAAGCGCCGCCGAGCGGCTAAACTCAAACGAACCTGCCGGCCATGGATTTACGCCCCTTGCCGTCTGTACCATTACGTCATGCTTTACGTCAGGCGCTATCGTCGGCGCCATCCGTACTGCAGGGAGGTCAGGCAGTCAGAGGCGGATCGATGGCTGGAAAGATACACCGACTGGTGGAACAGAATGCAACAACTGGCTAAGCTTGTGATGATTCTTCTAATGTATTTCATAGCGTTGGCATTACTCATCTTTTGTAGCAGCGATTACACTTGCTTGGAGCTAATGGACTCAATCTGTATCGTATTTGGTTATCAATCATTCGATCATTTGCTGTATGTCATAGGATTATGACAGTCAGACTTTTAAAAAGATATTTATTAAGAGATGGTGAATAATGCATTTAAAATCCGCGATTCCTTGTAAACATTTGGGCCAGTGGTTCTCCCACTGCCTGCGGGTGCTCATTCTTGTCAAAATATAACTATTTTTTTAAATAGCATTTTTAAAATTCAGACAACTTGTGGATATTATTATTTTATTAATTCCTTGGATTTTTTTTTTAACAAGAATCTTTCAAGTTTATTTGCTACAGTTTTATCGTTCACCTTGTGAACATGAAATGTGTACTGTTAGAGGAAGAAGTTAGCGCGTGTTCAAGGAGTACATCATCATTTACCACGTTCACCACAAGAGCACCACCATTAAAGTTACTTAGGTTCGCTTACACCAAACAAACGTTTGTGCCCCCCACACTTCATTGGGACCTTCCTCTTCTTTTAGTACAGAGATTTTTGCCCATTTCAGAAAGACGTTTTCCAATATCATCACTACTGCGAAAGATAATTGTACCGGTACTCTGTGTCTGTACTGTATGAACTGACCCTGCATAGGCCTATTTTTGTGTATTGTGCTCACAGCCGTGGCAGTGTGCCCTGCATTCGCTGGCCTGAAACTGCAGAGGGGCATCGGGCCATAAGTTTTTACATACCTGAGATCTTAGGGATGGGGAGTAATCAAGGAAATATTTTAAATTGCATTGATTAGCTAAACAGCGAAAACTATAAGGCCCCTCCAAAAAAAAGTCATTCGACACGGCTCTGGTTGTATTTTGTGCTTAATTAATTTATTTGTCAAAGGTTGTTTTTTTCTCTTGTTAGTTTTCCACTATATGAGTATGCTTAAAACATTTCTTACTGGTCTGTGAAACTGAGACACTCAATATGGTGATGTCAATTTTTTTACGATCAGATTATGGTGCCAAAATGGTACCATCAAAATTGGAGTGTGTAATTGTGACACATTGATATGATTGGGTGTTAATTTTTGACAAGGAAATTTAGTGGTTTTAAATTGCTGCAACGAATAGTGGGGTATAATTTTAAAGTACAGTGTTAAGTGTCACATTTTAAAGTACTGTGTTAAGTGTCACATTTTAAAGTACGGTGTTAAGTGTCACATTTTAAAGTACGGTGTTAAGTGTCACATTTTAAAGGTGAATTTTAAAGATTAATATTAGAGTGCAGAAATATGGGTGTGAAATTGAATGTGGCGAATTGTAGGTTGGAAAATTAAGTGAGTATAATGCGTGGGGAAAAAATATGTAAACTTGTCGATTTACAATTTGGATAATTTAATTTCTGCATTAAATATGTGCACGCATATTAAAGCCAACCTTTTCAACTCGCTGTATTCCACTGAATGGTTTACCACAGAGGGTTACCTAATTAGAGTCCTAATGGTTTACCACAGAGGGTTACCTAATTAGAGTCCTAATGGTTTACCACAGAGGGTTACCTAATTAGAGTCCTGATGGTTTACCACAGAGGGCTACCAAAGTGTCCTCGTTTTATAGCCATTGTAATTGTTTCTATAGTATAGTAGTAACTATCCTAATGTCTAATTTTAATTTAGTTAGTTTACATGTTTTTAATAATTGTAAAGCGCTTAGAGCTTTAAGGTAAGCGCTATATAAAAATGCCTAAATAAATAAATAAATTAGAGTCCTAATGGTTTACCACAGAGGGTTACCTAATTAGAGTCCTAATGGTTTACCACAGAGGGTTACCTAGTTAGAGTCCTGAGTTAAATCGTGCAACTGGTGACTCTGGCGTCTCTGGGCATCCTGTATTCAGTGTCACTAGACCGAGACTCTTTAACTCTTCTGATCCGCCACGTCAATTTCAAACCTCTTAAGGCCTTTTTAAGCGGTGGTGGTGGTGGGGCTGTTTTCAGTCGAATCGAATCGGGGCGTTTTACAAACTGGGTCACAATGACCTAATACGCTATCGTAGTAAATGCATACAGTTGCTCTATATCAGGGGGGTCTTTTATGGTTTTGTTTACACGGGGCCCATTTGCCAATCACAATATGGTCAAGGACTCCTTAGAGAATTTTTTTTCTTCAAACACATAATAAAATTACAAAGGAATAGCACCGCATGCCCCCCCCCCCCAAAGCGGTCCGTGGACTGCTCTGTATGGTGTCACAGTTAACATGAAGCATGTGTATTATTTCTTATTACTAGCAACTAGTTAAACAACAAACAGTTCAAACTTATGGCATCGATCGAAACAAGGGTGACACGACTGCTTACGAATCTCCAAGAAGTTGATAAGAAGAAAGAAAAAAAAAAGAGGGGGTGGGGGTGTTTATATCGCTTGTTAATAACTGAATATTAAAAAAAAAATTTAAAAAAACACGATAAAACTAATTCTTCACCGTCTAGCGGTGTATGGTGTGATTTTGATCGCATTTAAAAATGACCCCGGGAAATGCACGTGATACGGCGGCATGTTAGTGTTCCTCGCCATTGTCATTCAGAATGTGTGCCTTATTTGAACCGCTAGGCAGAGGCGTAATGAAAGGGGGGGGGCAGGGGGGACTGATGTCCCCAGGCGCCAGCTAGTTGGGGTGCCAAAATGTGCTTTGATATTATTTTATTGATAAAAATAACGGGTTTGAGAGATGAAAAAAGAAAAGGGGGCGCTTTAAAATGAACCTTGTCCCTGGGCGCCAAACACTCTCGCTACGCCTCTGCCAATAGGACAGTGGTTCTCAACCTTCCCAATGCCGCGACCCTTTAAAAACAGTTCCTCATGTTGTGTAGACCCCCAACCACACAATTATTTTCGTTACTGTTTCCCGATGGTCTTAAACGACCCCTTAGTAAGGGTCGCGACCCACAGGCTGAGTACCGCTGAGCTAATTTAAATATACATTTTCGTTTACTTTGCCTCTCAAACTTTTAAGTTTGGCGGACCGGTGGTCGAGTTTCTCCACTGGGGACCGACCGAATGTGATTTTTCTGGTTACAAACGAAACCAAACGTTTAAATTTAAGAAAAAAACAAAAAAAAAAACAAAAACTTTCGGCCAAAAACAAAAGCGTAACAAAACTACGGCCGAAACCGAAAGATATATAACTATGTATTTCGATTATACAATTATTATATGAAACAGTGATACACGCATACGTGTAACTAGGCTTGTGATTTCAAATACAGGCTGCTGAATGCATAACTATACACATTTTATTTTTTTTTAAATATATTACTGAATGTTTATTATTCTCTTTCTTTAAGTGTGTGTCCATATAGACTACGTGCTTATTTGGTTTTATATTTTATTTTTTTTTAAATTTCGTTATCTATGACAACATTTATGACAACATGATAATGAATAATGATACATGGCAATGAATGAATGAACTAAATGAGCCTAGGGTTTCCTAATTTTATCATTGTTTAAAATAATAATAATGGGAATGTTGCCATTCCCTGGGATTTTGTTTTCCACATTACTATTTAATTTTGCCTATGAAAACATTTATAAACATGATAATGATGAATCAAATAAATTAAATGTCGAGAATGAATGAATCAAATAAATTAAATGTCGAGAATGAATGAATCAAATAAATTAAATGTCGAGAATGAATGAATTGAATAAATTAAATGTCGAGAATGAATGAATTGAATAAATTAAATGTCGAGAATGAATGAATTGAATAAATTAAATGTCGAGAATGAATGAAT